ACTTTGTCTAGAGATGGGGTTGCTTTTGGGACGCGACTTTGCAGAGTGTTAGAACTGTAATTTGGGCACAACAGGGTAGACACAGGGCTGGGCTCTCTAGTAAGAGGCAGCCCGGGTGTGTACCCTCTAGAAAACTATAACATCTTCTAGAAAATTCTGTGCCCTCACAGGATAGCCCCTTCGAGGGAAGTGAGAGCATTGTGGCAAATTCCAGTGACTCAAAACTGAAACTCTGAGAGCCGAAGGGACCCACTGCTCTGAGGAGAGCTCACTTCTAAGGCCGCCCGCAGAGTTTCAGGCCAGCTCTTCCCCCTGCCTTTGATTCAGTGAGTTGAGTTTGTACGTTGCCTTCTTCAAAGGCCTACCTCACCTTGGGCCATTTAAAACTCAGACTCTGGCCCTTTCCTGCCATCCCGGGTCTCAGCCACCACGTTCCTGGTGGCTGATGGACCTGGCTCCAGCACTCCCAACATTGTGGGGCTGGCTTGGTAGGATGGCCCATTTCCAGGAATGACACCATGCCACAGCAACGCTCAACTCCATGTGAGAATTGCTATGCAGGCGACAGGTACTGCCTCAGGCTGGCTAATTAGGGGCACAGTCGACTAATTGGGCCCCACAAAGACAGACAAAAGGCTGACTGCTGGCAGAAAAAAAAAAGTTGTTTCCAGGAAAAGGCTTTCCCCCTGAAGAATGTCCTCATACCTAAGGCTTGCTTCTTTGGGGGAACCTTCTGCATAGCTCCCTAATGGAAAAGATCCATGTAGAGGAGATGAGTAGTAACTGAGCCCTTAAGAACGTTGCCCTGAGCTCAGATGATACCGTTGACCCGCTCTGTGACATGGGCTACCCCATCTTTCCACAAAACAACATGCCCAGCACCTCTTCCTAGAGGATGCTGGAGGGCAAGGTGACGGCAAGGCAACACAGCAAGGCTCAGAGTGTGGTACCCGGCTTGGGCAAACTGTTCAATTCCATTGCTTTTCACCCCAGGTGCCATTTCCTTTCTTCATCCATCCAATCAGCCTCCATCTTTTCTGCCTGCTGGCTTAGCTTACCAGCCATCCCCTTGCTTCCCTCAAACCTGGCCTGTCCTTTTCCAGTCCTCAGTCACATACCCCTCCTTCCCTCGGTCACGCACAGACCTCCCAACCGTGGTCCGACCCTGCTCTCTCTTCCTTCCACATTCCCCCTAGGGAGAATCAGCAGATAGTGTTCAGCACCTTAGGGCTCAAGGGAGAAGTCAGACCCCGAGACTGAGGTTGCTGTCAACGCGGAGCCAAGCCCCAACAGCACAGGGTCTGGGCATTCACCCCTTCCAGACTGGGTCTGTGCACAGCTAGACCTCATACGCAAAGGGGGAAGAGGGCACTGTCTCCACACCATTCCTCAGCATCGTCATGTGAGTTCGCTCAAAACGCATAAACCCCATACTCAATGCATAAACCCCACTCTCAGGAAATCAAAAGTGGATGGTTTTGCTCTCTCTAGCTGTGTTGGCAGGGTGATCTCAGATAACTGCTTGCATCTTAACCCTGGCTGTTCCTACAACCTCAGCTACAGCTGCCTCTCCTTTCCTACTCTTCACACCGTTGATGCTGATCTTGGCTGTCCGCTTGACTATGTATGTCTGGATTCAACTAAACTCAACCTGCTGGGCATACCCACGAGGGGTTTTACTTAACCAGATCATTTGAGGTGGGAAGACTTATCCCAAACCAGAGATGCCTTCTGGTTGAAGCCTGCTTGAACGAAGCCTCATTTCTCCCATCTAAATACTAACCAGGCCCGGCCCTGCTTAGCTTCCGAGATGAGACGCGATCAGGCGCGCTCAGGGTGGTACGGCCGCAGACAAAGCCTCAGTCTCACTGGTAAGTTTGTCTAACTTGTTACGGAGGCATCCGGTTGCTGGTGTTAGAACCCACTTCTTTGGAACATGACAATGTAGGCTGAAGATCAGCAGCTCTCCAAGAGTCTTCTATGACACCAGTGACAGGTTGGGACAGCTGAGACATTCAGCCTTGTGAACTGAACTGGATTCTCACCCTTTCCAGAATGAGACAGCCACTGTTGGGCTATCCGGATCACAGCCAGGAGCCAGTGCAATATATTCGTGTGTATGTGTATGTGTGTGTGTGTGTGTGTGTGTGTGTGTGTGTGTGTGTCTTAGTTAGAATTTCAATCACTGTGATATAATACCATGACCAAAATCAACTTATCTTGCTAACACTTCCGCGTCACAGTTCATCAGCGAAGGAAATCAGGGCAGGCAGGAGCTGATGCCACAGAGGACTGCTGCTTGTTGACTGACTCCCAACTGCTTGCTCAGCCCTGCTTTCTTATAGCACTCAGGAACACAAGCCTAGGGTAGACCCACTCACAATGGGCTGGGCCCCCTCACATCAAACACTAATTAAGAAAATGCCCTATAGGCTTGCCTACAGCCCAGTCTTCCGGGGTGGGGGCATTTTCTCAACTGAGGTTCCCTCTGCTCAGATGATTCAGCAATATGTGCACATGTGTGTGTGTGTGTGTGAGGGTGAATGCATACATGTGCACATATACATGCATATATACATACATACATACAGATAGCCTCATTATATCAGTTCTGTTCCTTTAAGGAACACCGACTGATAAACGCCCAAGGCTCCGAGAAACCCAGACTGTTAAAGTCACTGACAGAGGTAGGGCAAGGCCCCAAATCTGTGTCCCTAGTGTCAACAACAGCATGTGGGTTGGCACACAGTAGGCCCTCAGGACGCTGGGGGACCTGAAATAACCAACTTCCTGGAGGGACATTTGTCTATCCCCCGCCCCCCCCCAGAGAGACTCAGAATGTTACGGACAAGCAATTTTCCCCCGTGGGCATTCCACGAGTTCGAAGTCTCCTGTCACCTATCCCAACCTCCTCATCTCCCTCTCTGATGGGCCCTGAGAGTGGGCTGGCCCAGGCTGGAGCAAAGACTGGGACAGAAGGATGAAGACTCGGGCAGAGACGTCAGGATGAGAGAAGCAGATCTACCAGACACTTACTGGGATCTTCCTAGTGCCCGGGACACAGCCAAGCCACCGAAGCCCACAAAGGTGTCAGCAGGCTAGACCAGGATGGGCTCTATGAGCTTCCATTTCAACACAGGGAAGACAGAGCTGGCCCCCTGAACCTCTCCAAGACGAAGAGGTCAAGTAGCATACTGAAAGACCCCTCAAGGTTCACATTGGGGTGGAGAGGGGTAGTGCTTGGGCACCAAAAAAAAAAAAAACCACAGGGCCAGGCCTGTAAATGGAACCCAACTAGGAAATATGCAGGTCCTTGCCGTAGCCGACGATACTGAGACTGAAAACCCAGGAGCTTCCAACTGTCCCCTGATTTCAAGCAACCTGCGGACTGGTGGGACCTCTTCCTACACCTGGGTCGCATGTTCTTCTTGTCCCCTGCCCAGCGTTGGGACACGTCTCTTGGTTACAGTATCCAGAGATCCTCCATCCCTTTCCTGGGTCCCTACCTCAGGATGGTCATGTCCATGGTCCCCGTGTATGGCCTTGCCCTCGGCATCCTCTCCGTCACTGGATTACGAATCCCCAGGGCAGCCGGGTCGTAGATGCCTCAAGCACGCGTTGGCCACCCACACGGGGACCACTCTGCGCCGAGCGAGCACGGTGCCAGGAGCAAGATACTTGGTGATATTAACAGCAAGGTTCTGGCCTTCTGAAACGCATGCGTTGTGAGGGAGGAGGCAGAAGTCAGGCGAACACATGAAAAGCCACAGTGGGTACCGTAAGGAAACGCAGCTAGGCAACCTAAGAGCGATTGCAAGGGGACACTGGGTGGGTGTAGTGGTCCCTGAGGACCACTTCTGTGGAAAGAGCAGCTGAGTTAGTGCCTGGAGTTAGCTGCCTCCACAGTTACATTATACCAGGTTCCGCTTTCTAGGATTTCTGTTATTCATAGTAAAAAAAAAAATGGCCTGAAAACACTGAATGGGAAAATTCCAGAAGTAAACCATTAGTAAGCTTTAAATCACCTCTCGTCTGCTCCATCCTGCTCTGCCCTAGCCAGGCTGGTACAGTCCCCCCTTACCAGCCATCCAGGCATCTTCAGTCTCTGAGTGTGATTGATTTGGGAGTTAACATCATAGTTAGACAAGTAACGGCACTTACGGGGAAAGCCGGCACCATTGCAGCTTAGGGGGATGTCCACTGGATGGGGAGATCTCAGCATACCCTCCTCCATGAGTCAGGGAGGACTATTGTAGGGGCCTGCCTACCTTTTTACTCTTAACAGTTTTGTTTTCCGAGCCCTGGGTCTTCCTCAACCACTGTCAAGAACACAAAGCATTCTTGCTGACTAACCAGAACACCTTGAATGGGCCAAGGAGTATCTGAGGCAGAGCCAGGACGGGCTGCCCTGCATGTGAGCCGGCTTGCTGGCCCTTCACAGCCGCCTCCTCCTCCTCTCCTGTCCAGTGGATGAGGGCACACAGTGCTCGGACATGTGCCCCTACTGCCTGTGCAACTGGACCCTTCTGAAGTGTAGAAGCAGGCAGAAGCCACAAAGAGCCATAAATCCCCAGACCTGAAGAGACATAGCAAGATCTGGATGGTAGTCCAGAGCCACGACAGATAGTCAGAAAATAGGTGTGTACGGCAGGGATAGGGGAGGGTGCCCCAGTTGTGACTCATGGGCACATGGCTCTCGGTACTCTCAGCAACAACAACTGGCCTTCAAAGAAACAATGGAGCACCATGGAGCTGCGGAAGGAGAGGGGGTACGGCACCCACCTGGCATGTGCGTGAACCCACATATGTACTCCCACCCATGTACACACAGAGACACATGCACTAACTCTCTCCTAGGTTACCTACAGGGACAAGCCTCATAAAGCACACGTGTAGGGAAGGGAGTTCTGCACACACAGCTAAGCTCATCTACACACATGGGCGTGCGTGTATATACACACATACACACACACACACACACACACACCTACTACCCTGTAGGCCACCAATGCAAATGCACGGGATGCCAGCATCCAGGAGCACACACTAGCAGTCACAGGGACAGACTCTCCCTGGCATCCACGATGGTGTGCACATCCAGGTCCACATACTGTCACACTGCAAGAACACGCACTCCTCCACAAACAGCCTTGCTCTTGGACATTTCAAGCCATCTAAGGGGTGAGTTCCAGGAGAAGGTGACAAGAGGGCACAAGACTAGGCAGTGCGGAACAGGGAACAGGGAGGGACTCGCGGTACAGCGATGGCGCGCAGGTAGCTGGGAGCCCCGCGGTGATTACTATGCACCAGCAGCTGTCTCGGCGCGGTGACGGTGCCTCTAATTGATCTCATTATCTCCCCCTCCGTAAGGTGAAGTGCGGCCGCTCGGCGGGGCCCGGGCGCGGGCTGGGGCCCGCTGGCAGGCGGCGGGCGGGCGGCGGGTGAGGGCAGCGTGAGATCGCGCGGCCGCCTTGCCACCGAGTGCCACCGGGAGCCACCGGGCGCTGCGCCAGCGAGTGCGTGTGTGCGCGCGCGTGCGTTTGTGTGTGCGCGCGCGCACGAGTGTGTGTGTGTGTGTGTGTGTGTGTGTGTGTGTGTGTGTAACGTGAGCTGGCCCGCACACATCCCGGACCTGGGCGGCATTTTTCTGGTCCCTCCCAGGGTCTTTGGTAATTGCGATAAAAGCTATTATGTCCAGTCTCCCCATCATCACCTTGCTCTCTCTGCAAGGGCTCCCCCCCGACTCCCACCCCAGGCACCCGGCTCCTGTTGGAACCAACAATGATCCTCAATTAACCCTATGCCCAGGGCCGCCCGAGTGTGAATGGGGCGCTCTTCAGGCTTATGCCGCAGAACCCCGCCGGGCCCGGGGCCAGCCTCCCTCCCCCGCAAGACCTGCAGGGGGCTCAGTGTGGTGGGGCTGCTACCCTTGCCTGGCTCTGCAATCCACCTCTCCCTGCTGCGGAAAGAGGCCAGAAACAGCCTGAGGAGTTGGGGGGTAATAAAAAAAAAGGAAACACTCAGTTTGTTGTGTTTTCTTGGGGTTTGTTTTCTTGCCAAAAAAATTACCCCCTTTGTCTTTGCGCAAAAGAGGCAGTGTGGGCACCTTCTGCTGGGCGCCGACACAGTGCCAACGCGCCTTGCTTAAGGGCGGCTTCTGTTCCTTTTCTAGCCTCCCCAGATATATTTTTAACATACAAAACACTATATTTAATTGGTTATAGATCTCCGTTCTCTTAGCACTACTGGATATCACAGAAAAACACATTAGTACAGAACAATTAGTACAGTGGCAGTAAACAACTAAGGCACTATTAAGCTGTGGGTGATTAAATAGTATTACTTTTTATTTTTTTATGCTGCTAGACTGAAAGACCGAGGAAATATAAAATATATATTTCCATTGCTATTCATAAAAATGTAAATATAACAGGTGTCTCACACTTCTCAAGGTATTATTTATGCCCAGCACTTCAATATATAGACAGCTACTTGCCTTTTTTTTTAATAACGAAAAAAATTCTTTCTTTATAGACTTCCAGTATTTCATATATTCATGTGCCCGGATATTTAAGCAGAAATATTGTTTAATTGGAGTTGCATGGTCGGGCGAAATAACACCCATACCTATACCATAATTAAAAATAATAACAATGAGGCTCCCATCTGACCTAACTATGCAGTAGGTGGTATGTCTGCCTTTCCAAAGAGAGAAGGGTTAGGGTTAGTTGTAGGCCTTGCAGGGTGGGGATGGCAGCCGGGGCTGGGAGGGGTACACCTTGCTCAGAGCCTGGATGCCCCGCTGCCCCATTGCTGTCCCATTGCAGTGCTGCGGCTCTGCCTCTGAGTGTGCATAGATCATCCTAGGCGTTCTGGTGCATCTTTTCCTAGGCATCTGATTAAGTTAACAATATGCTGCTATTTGCATGCAGATTTGCAGGGCTTTCTCTCCAGCTGCTCCCTGGACTTGGTCGTTCTCTGCGTTGTGATAGGCACAGCAGTCCCTAAATGCAATCTTTGTCAGGCCCAGGTGTGCTCTCATTGAGGACGCCTTCCTTCCCAGCAATCTTTCTTTCTGTAGCATTTATAAGGCTCTATTATAGTATAGCCACATCTGGAAGAAAATTCTCCTATTAATTATATACTTTTACGGCCAGGAAGACAAATTCTGAGAGATACCAACATTTTTGTTGCTGTTGTTCTTATTTCTTTGACAGGCTGCGCTTTATTTTATTTTGTTTTGTGTTGCCAGGCATTTCAATATTTAAAGAGCCATTAACCAATGGAGGATGTGTGGATTTCTAGGAAAAAAGAAACCATAGCGTCGGCCTCACCAGAGAAGGCCACAGGAAAGACAGCTACTGAGATCTTAGAAGGCCCCAGAGCCTGAGTGAGAAGAATTATGCTCTGGTAGAGTTTAAAAAATGAAAAAACAAAGCAAAACAAAACAAAAAGTTCCATTAACCTTTAACCTTGGCACTCCCAGGTGGACAATCATGCACATCACCAAATTGCCAGAGGATCTGATTCCTTCACAGTCCCAACAGAACCAGATTGGACCAGCACTGTGACCCACAAGCCGTTTACTCTACGTGGCGGGGGTAATTTTCCAATCCAGTTTGAGAAAAGAAAACTAAAGCTGATCATCTAGCCTCATCTTTCAAAAAGAGACAGTCAATCAGCTTGGTCCAAGGTGTCTGAAAGCGACTTCAAAACCAGGTAGGTTTGGTTTTGGGTTTTGGTGGTTTTGGTTTTGGTTTTTTGTTGTTGTTTTTGTTTTTTGTTTTGTTTTGTTTTTTTCCTTTTTCCTTGGGTTTTGTTTTCTCTCGCTGGTATCGTCATCAGGTCAGATGAGAAAGAAAGAGGCAGATAGGTGGGGGAAAGTTTTTTTAACTACCAGACGATCCCTATCAGAGTAGGAAAGAAATTCAATGATCCAGACAATCTAATCGCCGCTGATCAAAATTTATTTCGCGAAGAGACCAGGGCTTTGTGGAGGAGACGGAAGCGCGCCCTGTCCGGGAGATCACGCTTGCACACCTTTGCACAGGCGCGCTGCGCATGCCCGCACTCCACACCAGCTGACCGCCTGAGATCAGGGAGACTTGAGTGAGTGGAGCCATTTTTCACTCCCTGTGCCAAACTCCAGCAGGTGAAATTCCGAGTAGAAAGCTGGCTGCCCAAGCAGCTCATGTGATAAAAATGCTGAAGCTGCCTTCTGCAGACTCATGCCAGGCCTCCCCGTCCCGGCGCTGGCACCTGAAAAGACATCTACAGTACCACCCGGGAGCAGAAGGGACTTCCTGAGGCCCCACCCAGCCCCTCTGCTGCCTCTGTTCCTTGGTTCCTATCCCATCTCTCTGAATGGCCAGATGTGTCTACTCCGTCTGTCTGGTCCCTTTGTTTTTGGGGTGGGGGGTTAACGAGACAGGGTTTCTCTGTATTGTTTTGGAGGCTGTCGGTCCAGAGATCCGCCTGCCTCTGCCTCCCGAGCGCTGGGATTAAAGGCATGCGCCACCAACGCCCGGCTTGCCTGGTCCCATTTTGTACTTGCTTCGGCCTTAGTTTCTCCAGTGGGATGAACAGATTCCACCCCAAATGGATATCAAATGGACCAGGGTGATGGACCACCCTTTGCATATGAGTGATAAATAAAGTTTCCTGCAATTCCATTCCTCGGGTCTACGGGCCTGATGCTACAAATTATTGACCTTTCTCTCCCGCAGCATGCTTCATGGCACTTAAGAAAGGTCTGTAAATTTACAGACATTAAAAACATGCACACATGCCAACACGCGTGTGCGCGTGCGTGCGCATACAAAGGTATACATTTTTAAGTAAATCGTGCAAAGAGAAAGCATTGAATTTTCAACTTGACTTTTGGGAACCATGGTCTTCTAAACCCTCACCCTCTCTCTCTCTCTCTCTCTCTCTCTCTCTCTCTCTCTCTCTCTCTCTCTCTCTCTCTCTCTCTCTCTCTCTCTCACACACACACACACACACACACACACACGCAGTCACACACCATCCCACCCACCCACCATCATTCTGCAAAAATAGAGCAGAGAGGCAGATGCAGTGAGGACTGGATTACATCACTGGAGAGAGCATGTGGCATTCAGGGGAGAGGAAAAAAAAAATAAGAAAAGACAAATGACATTTTGCCGCTATAGTGTGCTATTTTAGTGGTGATGGCTTGACTTTTGGCCCAAAATGCATATGCCAATGGCAAGGCTAACTCCAGGGACTCACAAAAAAAGAATGCGTGTTCACAGCTGTACTGTACACCAATACAGATTACATGTTTTCAGTGTTGCGGCCACAACAGAATGCTAATTAACATACTGGAGTGATGAGAGCGGCTGCAAGGGCCTTATTGTTCCATTATTTCATGAAGCCCAGCTGCCTTTGTTTATGTCACTTATCCTCTGGTGCCACAGGTTTTTACTCCAAAAATACTATCCCAATACAACGTTAATATTTAAAAAACAAAGAGGTGGCAGATTGTCATTTTTGTGTCAGTTTCAAACTGCAGAACTGTTAGGCTGCTCTGGTTCGGTATTTAGAAATAATTTAACAGCATATTCAGACACTGCCTGCATTCTAACGTAATGGCTGAATACTTGAACCAGGAGAATGCATAACTACCCTGACATCACTTATGAGATTTAGATTGGTCAGTTAATGGAAGTCTTTACCAGAATCAATACCATAACAGCTTCTTGAAATGAACGTGATTTTTTACAGGGAGTGTTGCGAACAATAACTACAGAAATATACTACCTTTGTACCCAGCACAAAGAAGTGAAGATGTGAAATTAAGAAGCAATTACATTTTTGCAAACTAATATTCCAGTCGATTATTAAAAACAAACACTTTCAAAAATATGTACTTATCATTAAATAATTGGAGAACATTAATACCCCCGTACCTGATTAATCATTTTTTTACACTTTTTAATAGCTGTTTCACCTACTGGCTACATTATCAGCTTGCTATTAAGTATTGATATTAATGATTGATGTAATAATGATTAAATAAAAAATATTCAGAGCTGATTTTTTTGTAAATATAATTTTTTCATGCTCCACATTGGGGGAGAATACTGTCTGCTGTCTAAATTAGTTTCCCCCCCTCTCTTTTGCCTGGATTGTGCATAAAAGTGACATTCTATAAAATACAGGCTTCCTCAAATAGTGTCCCACCAGCAATCTATACATTCCACAGTAATTTGCAATCACAGTTGGGGAAAGCTCTTGGCTCATGTTCAAAATGTTTACGGTACATTGCTTCCCCAAAGAATAAAAACACCCTGGAGTTTTATTTCAAATATCCCTAAATGCACCTTTATTGACACCAGGTACAACATTTAGGGGAAGACATCATACCCCGGCCCAGATGCTACCCAACCAGAATTGTAAATTAAGTTAGGAAAGAAGGTCCCCCCCCAAAAAAAGTTGAGCAGAGCCCTAATCACAGTCACACTGTCACCATTGCTGAAGAACACTCCAGTATTCTTTTTAAGGACTTTAACTGGTAATCTCAGATAAATGGGGAGCCGCTTGAAGTGTCTGACTTCCATGAGGCAGTAATGAGAAGATTTAGAACATTCCACATCCCAAACCAGTCTCTCTGGCTGTGTGAATGCCACAGGTGTGTCACTGTAGAGGGGAGAGTGCTTCAGCTATGGATGTCCCCCCACCGTGGACACAACATAGATTTTTTTAATTGGATCCAGGAGTTGGCTAAATTATCCAACTGCTCTGTGCTTAGGCCCCCAGCTAGCTCACACACCAATAATAATAAACTTTCTATAATAACGGCTCAGCCTATTACTGGGGTTTTTCTCTTAACCTAAAAAGTAGAGCCACTTAATTCTGATTAAAGCCACTGGAGAAATTTCTGAATTGGTTTCACTCATGAAATAAAAAAATTGCTCAAGAATTATAGAAGGGATCCAGGTAAGTAATATTCAATTACAGGCGTGCTATTTTCAGAGGACAACCCGCTTATCTTATGGAACCGGGGAGGAAACGATACTGTAAGTCATTCCCTTGTACTATGTGGAAGCGTTTGTCCTCTCCCTTTCAAATGTTTATTTACCAGGTCAAAGCAGCAAGCCAGACACACCATACCCTGGGACGCTGGCAGTACCAAGCCCAGCATAGGTGGGTCAGTATGCAATGACACAGCTTTAGTCTAAGCCTCAACATCCATCCGGAATGGAGGCCCTGGGCTGCCATTCTGCAAGTGGTACATTTCTAAACAAGAACTCGGAATCCTTCAGTGTGCCGAAATAAGCCCACCAACCTGGGTATCACACTTCGTACGCCCCACTATTTGGACTTACTTTTAACAATCTTAATCCCACTTAAACTTTGCGAAAACTCTATTGAAAAATTTAACCTTGGGCTCTTGAATCTGAAACTGATAAAACTTAACAGCAACAAGGCAGCGAGACACTAATAAACTCATTACAGATCACGTAAATGGGATGTCTGTGTGGCTGCCAGACAGCTCCAGGAGAGGCTTTGGTTGCAAACAGCCAAAGTTAGTGAGGTGGTGCAGGAGTCTGTGTGGACAGTTGGAGGAAAAGGATTGGGTAACACCTCACAATAAGTGTGCTAAATTTACCCCATTAGGCGGTTCATTTAGAAAACTCCGAAGCTAATTATAGGTAGGCTGCAGACAAGCTGGTCTAGATGAATGTGTTTTTCCTCAAGGCTGAGGGCCACATCAGGGCCTACTCCTACAGAATGGGTACTGAGTCTTCCGAGTCTTTAACCGACACAGAGAGCTGTTTGGGGACTGTGTTTTGCCCAGTGCTGCTCCTTCCAACATGGTTGCTCTTCCTTCCAGATCCATGGACTTGTCCCATAGTGGGCAATCCCTGGAGTCTACCCTTGGAGTACACGTTTGCTCAGTTTGACTCACAGGAGATACCTGTGCAAATGGTGGCGTGGGATTTTGTGTGGAACCTCAAATTCCTGTTTTTTACTTGGGAAAGATCAGACACCATGGTGGCAATGGATCCGGATTCTCAAGGGACCACCAAGGAGAAGTCATCGGTGGTCACAGCCCCCTTTCAAGGACAGGAGATCTCTAAGGGATTGTAGCCAGCACTGGCACTGTTCTGAGGCCATAACGAGGAGAGGAAATGAAGATACGGCCAAGGGAAGTCATCCCAAAAGGAAACTGGAGAACGGACAAGGATAATGTGACTCCATGCTCCAGTCCTCACCCCAAACCCATCTGCATAGACACGTAGTTACCCAAACCAGCCCTGCCCAGGTACAACATACAGAGTGAGAAAACACATGCTCCCTCCATCCCTGTTCCCGCACCATCCTCCAGAAACACCTGCAGATCCTAGAGGGATGGGAGAAAAAGGGATGAAAGGACACAGACTCCATCCTACAGTTGCCCAATGAGGCTGAGACAGCCCAAAGAGGGAAACGACAGCAGAGGAAGAAACCAGGAGCCATGAGAATCAATGTTCCTAGCCCGAGACAGCGGTCATCAAATCTGAGATAGGAGGGAGCATGGGAAAGGACCAGGGAAAAGACAGGAGAAAAGGAAGATATTGGAGTTGAAACCCACAGTGGGATAGCACATTCCACTGCATGAGGTCAGTGATGCCAGAAGTTGGGTTAGACTTTGCTCACACAAGTCTACTCTACTCCACTCCCCCCTCGTGCTGGAGCGGCATCATGTGAACTCCCCCACTAGGTTGGTTACACAGAGAACATACGCTGTACCCAGACCTCCTGAATCAAATAAACAGTAAAGATGGTCTGTCTACCTAGTAGAAAAGTAAAAAAGAAGAAAAAAAAAACCCTTGCACACTCCCATCCCGATGTCTGTGGCTTTACTGTGTGTGCACTGTTATTGTGGACAGGTTCCCAGCCCATCCACCTTGATGCTGTTCTTTTAGACCATCCATAAATACAGCTTCAGTAGTCAGATGATATTTAATTAGCATTAAACTCTTTTATTTCATGTAAGTTAGAGCCTTGCCTGAGACACTTCATTTGGAAAGTAACCTGGCACTCAAGATTAAAATGAAATATTAGCATGTCAGCGCTGGCTTCCTCGTGTGTTAAGATCCCCCTCAGCCTTCCAACCTGGCGGGGAAGGAAGCAGAGCTGTTTTCTGAACCTTGCCACAAGAAGGCGAGTGACGTGGTGCCTTTCAAAGGTGAGAGGCAAAGATGGCATGCATGGGAAAGCCTCGAAGAAGTTAGAAAGGAACAAATGGAACCTTGTCAAAGCTAGAAACAAATTTCATCCTTCCTTGTGAATTTTTCTCTCTGCAACTCAAATTCATCCAGCCTATACCTGACTCCTGGCTCTCCCGTGAACTGCGATCTCTGTCCAGGCATAGCTGCATTCAGGGTATGCAGACCTAATGTCACAACACACCCCAGAGGGAACACTGCCATAGGTTCTTCTGCCTCAAATCCTGTTCCCTATTTTAACGGTCCTATGAGACCTGTCCCTACTGATGGGCTTCTGGCTTCATTGTCAGTGGATATATTATCTGTCTCCTCTAATTATAATTTCAGCTGTACCTTATAAGGCAATAGGTCTCCATCTATGACAGATAGATAACCAGTAGGTACATAAATAGGAAGCAGATAGATGATGTATAAGAGATAAATGATAGATTACATGATAGGTAAGTAGATAGATTATAGATAAATAGATGATAGATGAATAGATAGATGGATGGTAGGTAGATTAATCTATAGATTGATAGATGATAGGTAGATAGACAGATAAATCAGTAGAGATTGATAGGTAGATAGATCAATGGTGAGACAGATGATAGATAGATAGACAGACAGACAGAAGATAGATGAGGTGATGGTGAAGATAAATAATTGATTGATTGATTGAATAGCTATACGATAAATAGATACATAGGATAGGTAGAA